TTTATTGTATATATATATATATATTTGTAGAATATTTTTAAATAAAACTTTTCACCTTATATTTTGCCAATTATCTTGTATAAAAACTTTTTTGGCTTGCATGCTAAATATATAAAGAAGTCTCTCTTAAACCCACAGAGTTGATCTTTATAAAAACTGATCTCTAGCTATGTATCTCTGCTTGTCTCTAACAACTTTTTGTTTTTCATTAATTAGAAAATTTTAGTACAAGTGATTGTCAGGAAGAGTTGTTAAGTTTATATTAAAATTTACAAAATTTTAAAAAATTGTTCTAAGTAATTTTATTTTACTATTTTCAATATATTTAAGTTCAAAATTTGAAAATAAGCTAATATATAGGTTTAAAAGAGTCTTTAGCTTAAAGTTTATAGTAAATTTATATATTTTTATTATAATTTTTATTATAGACTTATACTTATATATAAATATATATAATATCTTCTTTAACTAATATAAGAACTTAATATTGTAATTAGACTCTATAGCTATTACAGGTAGTGCAAGACCTTTATATTTGATAATTAAGCTTTGCAACTATAATAGCAGTACACAGGCCTTGTGTTATAGTTAGACTTTGTAGCTATAATAGCAATACAAGAGCCTCATATTGTATTTAGGCTTTATAACTACTATAGACAATGCAAGAACCTTATTTTTAGTAATTAAGCACTACAACTATAATAGCAGTACAAGAACCTTATATTATAGTTAGGCTCTGTAGCTACAATAGTATAAATTAATCAAAATTTAACTAAATTGAAACCAACAATAATAGTTTTTATACTTACTGAATATAGTTAAGTATATTATATAGTTTAAAAAAAAATTTTTTGTAACAAAATAAGCTATTATTGTATATAATCTATCCAAGCCATATCTTATTAAAAAAAAACAGATAATAATAATACTTTCCTGCTAAATTCTATATAATATTGTTCATATATATTTTATTTACAGTTTAGTTATATTTATAATTTAACAAGTTTGAAAAATAGAAATCTATAAAACACAGAATAATTGACAAAATATAAGGTGAAAAGTTTTATTTAAAAATATTCTACAAATATATATATATATATACAATAAATAGACAAAAATTTATCTGATAGAATTTTTTTACTATTCCAAAACCATCCTAGTTAATTGGATCTAAACATGTTTATAAACTTCAAACTGAACTTTAGACTAAACCAGACTTGATTAAAAAGTTTATGATTAAACTCAAACTGAACATAGTTTTAAAAAAAGTCTGAGTTTGAGTTTGGTTTAAAATCAAACCAAACTCTGACTTAGCCAAAAGTTTGATTTGGTTTGGTCTGATAAAAGCACTAACTATAGAGATAACAATTAACAATCTGTTACCTCTATGATATAGACCTGTTAGTACAGACTAGTTAGTATAGATTCATTAATACAAACCTGTTGGTAGGGTTTTTATTAGGCTAGGTTTAACCCAGCCTAGCCTAGCCCAGACCCAACCTATAAATTTACAAGTTTGGGCTCAAATTTTTAGATCTGTAATTAATTTAAGCAATATTAGGTTGGCCTAAAAATAACATGTCAGGCTTAGATCTAGTTTAGACTATAGTAAATTTTAAAATTAGGCCAGGTTTGGGCTTAAATTTTCACGCTCATAATTAATTTGGACAAGTTTGGACCAGGCTTACAAAATTATTAGGTCTATAAAAATTTAACCTAACTTGGTCTAATCTAGCCCAATATGGACCCTACCTATTAGTATAGACCTATTGTACAAACTTGTTGATACAGATCTGTTGATACAAACTTATTGATACAAAATATTATTCGTTTTTATATAGAGTTCTAAAAGATATAAAAACTATCTTTTTGTCCAAGGCAAGATAGATTTTGTGAAGATTTTAAATAAGTTCTAAACTTGTATTTTTTTAACTTTTTATCTAATAAAAAATATTATCCTTTTAACTATACTTGTTATATTATATACTCTCTTTTATTGCCTTTTTGTTATACTTTGTTGCTTCTTTTTATTGTCTTCTATTTTGATTTTATTGTCTTTTTTATGCTCTTTCTTACTACTTTCTATCTTAGTTTTATTATTTTTTGTTAGTTTTTCTTCTTGTTTTCTATATTTTTATACCATATATTTTATATTCCTTGTTTTTAGATTTTTTTTTTCTTTTTTTCTTTTACTCATATTCCTTACTCTCTGCATATTAAGTCAAGTGATATATTTAACAAGGCTAGTTATCTATATTACAACATAATAGATAGCTTTTGTATTGGGTTTGAGAAATTATTAAATTTAAAATATTAATAGCCTTGTCACATGATCATAACTAAATATAATTGGCTAGATTATATTTTTTATATATAATCTATTACACAAAACACGATCTGAGCCAATTAAATTGATTTATAGTATCTGTCAAAACTGATATCTTATAGATATCTGATTTTGTTAATATTGATTATTAGGTTATTGGGTTTTAATTATGAAATAAACATGGTGAATCAATTTTTTATCAGTTATAGCAGGTTATTGGTTTTGACAGGATCAGTTTTGGAAGGGTGTACTTTACTATATATATATTTAAATATTCTTTGACTAATTTGACCAATACTAAACTCTTTAACCAACTGGTCAAATTAGTCAAACTAGTCTGGTCAAGCTTGACTAGTACCAACCCTAATTACAATATAGTCAAAATTAGACACCAAAAAATTTATATAAATTTCTATTATAAATCATGAATTTTAGCACTATTAGTAATTTTTATAATTAGCTTATTCCCAATTTTATTCGCGAACTATCAAATAAGTTATTAACTATATAACAGTACAAAATATATTATATTTATACAAAACAGCTATATAACTTATAAAAACTTTAACAATTTAAAAATTAATATAAAAACCTATAAATATACAATATAATCTTACCCCACCTTAAAAATGTTTTATTAAGCTTTGTTATAAACTTCTAAACTTCCTTCCCCCTTCTACTTTACTAAAACTTATGAATTAGTAACTTTAAGATTATTATTAACTATATATATTAGCAATACGCCTACTAAATTTTGAGTAAAGATAATGTTATTTCTTTTTTTTTATTTTTTTTTATTAAGGGATAATGTTACAGTATTTCTAGATACTCTATCTATTAAAATATTAATATTTATGCATAAACTTTAAATAAACTATAAAATACTAAAACTTCGAAAATGATCAACAAAAAATTTTTTTGTGAATATCATTTACTCGATTGCATTGACACAATAATCACATTAATGTACAGTAATTGTTATTACTGTGCCAATGTAATCGAGTATTCGAGTATTTGTGATATTCACAAAAATTTTTTTTGTTGGTTATTTTCAACATTCCAAAACAGCGACAAAAATCTGATAGATAACTTTGTAGAGCTCATTATAAAGAACAAAGTTATCAGTTAGATTTTAAAATAATATCTGTGTAAAAAGTTTTAGATTATTATTGTCTAGTATAGATGTTCTGCACCATCGTTATTTTATTTCAATATTTAAATGCCCTGCATCATCGTTCAATTTAAAAGAATCGTTTCAAGCAATTATATTTCTGTTTTTTAAGTTTCTTTTATATCATTTAATTCATGAATCTTCTCTCGCCAGCGAATTAATCGTTCAAAAATGCATTTATTTTTTTAAGCACGTAAAATTTCAATATGTGTTATCTATCATAATTGGACATGTATGGATATTAACTACGATATGACCTCACTATATTTTTTTTTTTATTAAAATTATGCTGAATCTTTGAGACATGCTCGAGCAATACTATCAAGATCACGTTGTCCATCTTGTGTGATTTTACGGCCACTAAATACATAAAAGAATAGATAAATAATAATTTGATTGTAATAATTGACATATTACTTTTAAAACGAACCCTTTACTATCTTTTTCCAGGACATTAATTTTTTCCAGGGCTTGGAGAACCTTTCGAGCAATTGATCCAGATGATTTAGCATGATGCGATGGACGTGTACCTCTTCGTTTACGGCCACCATGAAGTTTTCTCAATGCGCCAACTCCAACTCCACTACGAAGATAGATGTGTCGAGCAACAGCCGCTAAGGATTGACAATAAGATTAAAAAAAAAAAACAAAAATTGAAATCGAATTTTAGAAAATTTAATCACCCGCTCTTAAATAAAACCAATCTGGATCATAAGGTGCTAGCTCCTTAAACGGACCCGTCTTTACAATGTCAATCCATTTTGGTATTTCTAATTTACCAGCTTTTTTCAAATGTTCTGCATAAGCTTTCACAAATTCATGAGGATTAACGTCTTTAACTGTCACGCCACCGGCCATCTATCATTAGTGATCATGAGGTGATTGTAAATATAGACGTCGTTATTGAAGTAATAAGCTCAAAACAACTTATCAAATATCATTTACCTTCGTGGCAATTTTTTATGGTGGATAGTTGGGAGGAAGAATAAAAATTATCAAAATCTGTCATTTATATTATTGTGAAAATCAGTGCTTAATGTATGGTCCAATCAAATTTTTTCTTGCAAAAATTTTTTTGCATACGTATCAAATATATATATTTTGTTACGTATTATATATCTGATATATATTTTATTTATACGTAGTATTAGTGATAACGCGACTAAATCAGAAATCGTATTTTAGGTCGATAATTTATATTATCGTTGTGCATTTTCGATTAATTAGATATATTATAACGTTGCAGAATTAATTAATTCCTAGCAGCGAAGCCTTTTACAAATTAAAATAATTTCACTCGATTAATATTTAGTATCTACATTCATCAAATGTATCACCTTTTATCTTATCATTATGTTAGAAGCCTATTAATCAAAAGCGGACAAATTTTTGACAAATTTATCAACAGCAGCCTTGAAATATTCATTATTAACGCCTTCACCTCCAGGATGTCCAACTGGTGATAATGGATTTTTTACAACGTATTCTACATAAAAGTTTGTATATATTTGCCTTAATACAGGCCGCAGGGATTCTGTCGATGGATCGGTATTTATGACAAATTTCAATCCTGTCTGTGTTTCATAATAGTGAAGTTTATAATTCGATGTACGGTAAGATATAAATCCATCTTGACTAAAATAATAATTTAAAGAATTATTTTTTTTAAATAAAACTCAAGAAAAACCGTTCATAATACATAATAATTTCGTAACCAATTCGATCTTAGACTTACTTTCCACTAAGTTTATTCACAAGATTTCTCAATGTGCGTACGACTCCGTAAACTAGTTTCGATTCTTCTTCAATGTTAACCAAGCGACTATCAGAAAACATGCTTGTGGCGCTTGTTAGTTGAGAAGTTGTAGAATGGTGACTCGCGAGATGATTATTGGCTGCAGCACTATGAGCTGGCGAAGAGGAAGATCCTCCAGAATCACCTTCAGGCTGACCATTCATACTTGTTGTTGCGCTTGCAGTACCAGCATTATTGCTTCCCATTATACCACCACTTTTTCTGTGTTTATGCCAATCAATATAAAAAATACAAACGCAATGGCGATCAAAAATGTATAAGTTATAAATCATTTCTTTATTGTAACTTAGAAACGAACGGTTTAGATTTTAACTAGAGAATGTGCACGTGGGCGGCTTCGCCGCCCGTAATTTTTGAATTTTATTAATCATGTGATTACGAAATAGCTTTGTTACACGTGGTATGATGATCAATGATTTAGAGTATAAAAGAAAAAAAAAAAAGAGAATAATTCGAGTTACGTAAGGGAGCGATGGGTATTATGGCGCACCTAAGGATTGCTAATAGTAAAACTTTTTGAAAAAATTATATTTATTCACAAAAATTACATAAATAAAAATAGCATTCAATTCTCTAACTAATGATAAAAAAAAAAAGCAAGTATTTTAAAAAAACCCGGGTGTACTGGGCTTTTAAAAATCGTCTAAAAATTGCTGTTTTTTTTAGGTTGAGGGTATTATGGCGCACCGTGCAGTATTAAGATCTACATGCTGCATGAATTACATTATTGATACTTTACATATTAAAGTATCAAAAACAGAACTTTATTAGTAATATCATTTCTATATAACTGATAAGATCTACGTTAACTAGCATTATCTTTTTTTTTGTGAACATTGAGAACGTTCTTTTTTTTTTTCTCTATTTCAGCCTTTTTTTGAGCCTTTTTTTCTTCTATTAGCTCTCTTCTGGGCTGCTTTCTCTTTTCTTCATTTTGCACTTTCTTCTTTGCTCTTTGCTGATTTGTCCATTTCTTTTAACATTTGTAGGGTTTCTTCATTAGTAAGAAGTCGTGCGAATGAAAAAGTTTTTCTTTTTTTAGGTTGGTGGGGTGCTAATTCATCTTTCTGCATTGGAACTCGGGAAGTAGAATACTTAAAAGCCAATTTCAAGAAACAGGTACCAGGATTTTTGAAGGTCTCAAGTTTCTCTTTTAATACTATATTTTCTTTTTTTAAAGAATCAATTTCTATTTTTAATAATTCAGTTTCTCTTGTAATACTATCTTAAGAAGAAGAATAACTTAATTGAAAAGATGGTATAGAGGAATTATGATTTGGTTGAGATAGTATAGAGGAATTATGATTTGGTTGAGATAGTATAGAGGGATGATTTGATTGAGACAGTATAAAGAAATGATAATTTGGTTGAGATGATATAGAAGATATAGAGGAATGATGAATTGGTAGAAATGATGATATATAAATTGGTTGAGATATTGATATATGAATTGGTAAAGATGATGTTATATGAATTGGTTGAAAATAAGATATAATATTTGAAGGAGGTTCTTGATTAATTTGTTGGAATGAAAATAAATAATCAATTTGTTCTGTAGATAGAGAGGGATCAAGATGATCTGGACTAATGGTATTAGAATTAAGAGACCAAGTCCCTGTAACTCTATAAGCATTAATAATTGCCTCAGGAGTGTAAGTTTTTGTGAATGCTGGTCCAAACATTTTAGCAAATGTGTGTTTTATTACTAGCTCACCAGTTTCAAGGTGAAGTTTGGTGCAAGCATTACTGTATTCAGTTTTAAGCTTAGCAAAAGAAAGCTCAGAAAGTTGGAGAATATGCGTAGTATGAGGTGGGAGTGCATATAACAGAATTCTGTTTTCATGACAAAAGTTAATACTTATATAATTAATATGGCTTTTATAACCATCAAGTATTAGAAGAACCGGACAACGAGGAGGAATAGAATTGACAAAATGTTTAATATACATTTGAAATAGTTCTTCTTTTATATAACTGGAGTCAGTAAAACCCATAACAGTTCTAGCCAGAGCACCATCTAACAAATTAGAAATTGCATGAACTCCCTTGTAAATAATTAAAGAAGAGATATAGCTGCTAGCAGCTAAAATAGTCGGGATGACAGAAATGTGTTCATGTAAGTTGCTATGTGAAATTTTGTAAATTTGATATGAGCCTTTTCTAGCAATAACTTTCTAGACTTTAGGAGTTATGACGAAACCAGTTTTGTCCATATTCCAAATTCTGTTAGCAGTAAGTGAATTTTCTTGAATTATTTTATTAAGCTTATTTAAATGATCTTTAATAATAACAGGATTGGCTCTTTGCACGCATGCTTCTGAGAAAGCCTGAGGTATACAAAAAGACAAATTGGGATAGTCTCTTATAAAACATGTTCACCAGGCCTTACCAGGTTCATTATACGTAAAAGGATGATCATGGTTATTACCTTTCATAATACTTATTACACAGTAGTTTACACCAGATCATGTAAGACCAAATTCTAATTATTGCATATTCATACAATAACCTATCAACTGTTCTTCTTCATGTGTAGTTAAAATTGTTGAAGGGCCAGGATGGTTAGGCAACCCATTTTTTTTGGCTTATCTTAAAGTTGTTGCAGCAATCCCATATCTTAATACTACTATCTGAATGCTAAGTTTTCCAGAGCTAGCGATTGCCTTAAGAGCAGACTCAATGGCTTTTATATATATAGTTCGATTTTGTTGTAGTTTTGCTATAGTTTTGGGCTTGGATATAATTTTGGACTTAGATGCAATTTTGAACTTAGATGCAGTTTTGAACTTGGATGTAATTTTAGTTTTGAACACAATTTTTTTGAAGCTTATTTTGTGTTTGTTTTTTTTTTTTGATTTTATTTTTTTTTAATTTTATTTATTTATTTATTTTTTTTTTTTAATTTTATTTATTTATTTATTTTTTTTTTTTAATTTTATTTATTTATTTATTTTTTTTTTTTGATTACAAAATTTTAAAGCAATTTATATATTTTGTACATGATTGTGATTGATTTTTTCAATTAAAAATTATGACTTCGTTTGTCTCAATCACAATTATGATCATAATTGTCTTCATATATCTTTGTTTATATAATCATAGTTGTAATCATTTATTCTCGCAATGATCGTGATTGTTTTTGTTGCAATCTTAATAACAATTGCAGGCTTTTGTTTACAACTGTGAAATGCAAAATAACCCAATAAAGCTTGTATATTTATTTTTAAAGTATATATCTATTAATGGCTTAGTTCATTACAAAAATGGCTACTTTATATTAACACTAAAGCGATTATAGTAATTGCTAAAATAGCACTATTTGATATTTCATATTATTTTAGATCTATACCGCATAAGTTTAATTAGCAATTGTTCAAGAACAAAGGCACTTACGTGAATATAAAATCGATTTCAGTAATTGTTCGTAAACAAAAATAATCATGCTTAACAATAATCATGTTTAACAAAAGACTCATATAACAAACACGATTAGTGTCAAGAGGTTTCTTTACAATAAAGTTTAATTTGGGTAAATTTTAATATAAACCAATAAATTTTCTTGAAATTTATTTACTTAAAATTTAAATATAGAGCATGATTATGTTATACACGAAATAGAAGTGAATGATCTAATTTTAAATTTTTGTAATAATTTAATAAATAATACTTACAATCCTAGAGAATTTAAAGACAGAATAAACTATATACTTCCAATCTTATATGATCATTTGCATATTACTATACAATATTTACTGAAAATAATTATTACAGTCACAACTATCCAGTCTATTAATAATTATCATGCTCATGCTAAAGAACTTGATCAAATCACGCGGTTTGTTGAGTTTTTTGATGAAGTAATTTGTAATTACGAATTACTTCTAAAATAGAATACATAATCTCAATGTATAAAAAATTCTGTAAGGCTGAAAATGATGAAGGTACTTTTAATAAAAAGTACAGGTATCGTTATACCATTAAAGGTCTAGAAATATACAAATTTGCTGATTTATTTTTTACAAGAGAGGCTTATAATTCAAGCTTTAAAAAATTCTATGGTGATTGTCATAAGCCTGGTTTCTATAAAAATGATGAGTTTAATTTATATACAAGAGATATTTGTCGCTTTGATACATGAATATCTTTAAGAGAATAGGTTACAATTTGATTTTTATTTAAATTAGTTATTTTATAGATGGTTGTACAAGTTGGTTATAATGATTAAAGAGCAGTTGATATGTGATATATATGTAAATTTAAAAAAAATTTGTGCAAATGCTAATGCTGTAACGAATAAATAAAAAAAATATGTCACAAGTGAATGACCAAACATATCATAATTAAAGGTCATAAACACATGTAATAATACCCTATTTATTTAAAAATTCATGTTATAAAACTCTCACGATGTGTTGCAATTAAATTGATTTTATTTTTAAATTTTAATATGTGCTAAGAGAGTTCAGAATTTCTTTAATATTTTGATTCAACTTGAAAAATGTTTGAATTTCACATCTATTGTTTAATCACGTGTAAATAGATTTTTTTGGATTAGTTTAATAAACATTAACAAAATTTATGAATTTCTCTTGGTATTTTACATCTATCTTGTGGTCTAATGGTTCGTATAAACTGATTTTTATATCATTTGATTCATCTTAATAAGACAAATTAAACAGTACTAAAATTGTTCAATTCGGATCAAAGGATTACAAGATATTATCAAAAAACACAAGTGCACTACAATATCTCCCTGTGCCATAATACCCATCGCTCTCTTATGTGTTGGTTAAAGTAAGGAATTTTATATTAATAGAGAGTTGTTTTATTTTTTTAGGTTTGAAGTATTTGAATTTGTTGGTTTTAGTTAGTGGAGTTTTTATATTAGTCTGTTTAGTGGTAGTGATTCATAAGCTTCAAGTTCTAATCGTCTATATTCTTTGATCATAAATTGGTCTGTAATAAAAGCAGTGCTACTTAGTAATTGTATTTTAAGTATTCCTAGTTAGTACAACAGCTTAATGCTACATATGCTTGGCCAGGCATGAATATTTGGTTATCTAGGTTTAGTGATATATCAGGAAGTATAAGTTTCTATATTTTGTGGACAGTTAATGTAAATGTATTTTGTATTGGGAATTGGGTTCGACTAGCAGGTATACTATTTATATCAATATTGCTTGTG